AACGTATGGCAATTAAACTGGCGCAAAACACCTTTTTTATGTAACGGTTAATAAAACTGTTCTTGATTTATTCTGTTTACACGTACCTATGGTTTCAATAGTAATTTATGAAATTCAATATGATGGTCTTCCGCATGAAATAAATCAATTAAAATTCACATGAAATTGATGATTATCAAATATTTATTTAACATAAAATTAAAAGTTAATTATAATACGTTCGTGTAAATATCGAATTTGTTTATATGTTTTATATTTAAAATATCAATATATATATTTTTTTTATCTGTAGATAATACATTTTATGACAAGTAATGAATATGTTTGCAGAATATGTAACGAATAAATTGTTACTCATATGAGAATTTGCTTTGAACAGTACAATAAGTGTATTATTTTCCTCTATAAAGCACAGGTTGCTTATGATTAATAGTTTATTTCCTTTCTTTTTTTTATATTTATGCATGCATTTTGTTCATTTATCTTTTTTGAATATTTATTAAAAATTGAAATTATAATATGCCGGATTTTAAGTAAAATATTTAATATTTTCTTTTCCTTTTTTTGTATTAGTGATATTTACAAACAAATAAAATGAAAGCTCTTATTCTTGTTGGTGGTTATGGAACACGTTTGCGTCCATTAACACTTACAAAACCAAAACCATTAATTGAATTTTGCAATAAACCTATGGTATTACATCAAATTGAAGCTTTAGCACAAGTATATATATATATATTTAATTATTTGAAATATTCTTTTTTTTACTTAGGTTGGTGTTACACATGTGATTTTAGCTGTTAGTTATTTATCAGATATGCTTCAACGAGAAATGGAAGTAGAAGCTAAACGATTAAATATCAAGATAACACTTTCTCAAGAAACAGAACCATTAGGAACAGGTCTAGATTTTAAACAATTTTTTTTTTCGTTCGAGTTTTTCTATGATGAGCTTTTGTTTTTGTTCCAGCTGGTCCATTGGCACTAGCACGTAATCAACTCCATGGAGATATTGATCCATTTTTTGTACTTAACTCTGATGTTATATGTGACTTTCCATTTGAGGATATGATAAAATTTCATAAACATCATCAATGTGAAGGAACTATTTGCGTATGTATAAGGAATTTTATTTCAAAGTCACAGATTAGTTTAATTATATATAAATGGTGTTCCAAAAGTTCGAACAAAAAAAACATGAACAGTTCCTCAACTATTCAAACGATTTAAATACTATTTTTTTTACCTTTTGATCGCATATTCATTGAAGTTTTATCTAATATATTTCAGATACAATGTCTACACCTTAACAAGTCACAATAAAATAAAAACTCGTCTTAACATATGAATTTTTCTGAATAGTAGGTTTTATTCTCTAATATTTACTGTAAGAACTGATGAATTTTGGAGTTTGTAGCAATTTCTTATAGAGGCATCTGGACCCAAAACAAAGTTGGATTTGAATTGAACTCTAAATGTTTTCGACTCCAACTTTCTTTCATGTTTATAGGCCTTGATAAGACGTCATTGAAGCCTTCAAAATACATCAGTTTGTATAGTAAACATTACAGAACAAAACCTACTATGCAAAAAAGTTTATATGTTAAAACCGAATTTTTGACAAAAACTGTAGCTAACTTTGTTCAGGGCTCTAGTCAGCTACCAATGTAAAGTGAATGCTACAAATCTAATTCGAGAAGAAGACTCTAACAGAATTTTGTGTTAGAACCTCATTTCAGTGAGTTTGAGTAATTGGTGCTGTTGAAAACCGATGATGCCCTGCAAGGTCTACATTCATGATTGAAAAACAAAGCCAATGAAATTAAGGATTCTTGTGAAAATGAGTCAAGATCAAATATTCGGTCTATTGCATTAGCTTGCTCTCATTACTACAAACAGAAGCCAACCGGATGATGACGAAATATTGCTTATGCAAGTCATACAAAGTACAATTTAGTGCTACGAAGTAGAGCTATATAGACCAAAAACTTGATTTCGGTTCATTTTAACAAGCATTATTAACTTCATCGACTCTGTCTAAAATAAATACTCTACGTTCTTCCTCAACGTAATCGGTTTTTTGATAGTACTAGTTTCATAAAATCACTGAAATGTGGTTTCAGTTGGCGTATTTATGCAGAATTCAACTTGCTGCTTGCATTTTACAGTGGTAGTTGATTTAAATTTCATCATCAGTAAAACTATTTTGATTCTGACTTCTACAGATACAGACATTTTATTTGAAATATACTGAATAATACTTCAATGAATATGTGATCAAACTGCAAAATAAAAGTATTCAAAATCCTTGAATAGCTGAGGAGCTATTTAAATTTTGTTTTTTTGTTCCCACTTTTGGAATATTCTATATTAATTGCAATTATTTAGGTAACTAAAGTTGAAGAACCATCAAAATATGGTGTTGTTGTCTATGAACAAGATACTGGTAAAATCGAACGATTTGTTGAAAAACCACGTGAATATGTTTCGAATAAAATTAATGCTGGTTTGTATATATTCAATTCAACTATACTTGATCGAATTGAAGTAAATAAATTGATATATTTAATATGTTATGAGTATTAGAAAATTATTTTTTTCTAGTTACGACCAACATCAATTGAAAAAGAAATTTTTCCAGATATGGCTGCAGATAAACAATTATATGCCTATCAGCTTAAAGGTAAAATGGATATGATTTTTGTAGAATTAAAATAGCAGAACTATTTAATCATAGAAAGGAGAACTTTAGAAGTATTTCATATCGAACTAATTCAAAGTCAAGTAAAAGTATTGTATAGATTTGTATCCGAAAGAGAAAATGTCTCTAACTAACATACATCCATTGACTTCATATTATGATTACTTGTCGATTCGCAAGAGATGAAGAAAAATCTAAAAAGATGCGGATCGAACTTTTAGAAAACTAAGTCAGTTCAGTCCAGTTTCAAAAAGAATGTGATCCGATCCCATCTCTGTTGAATAGAGAACTTTGGTCTAAAACTCTCCAAAAATAAAGTTTGCGATGGTTAAAAAATAAAATAAATTCGACTATCTCTTGACTGTTTATTATGTCGAAAAAATATTTTTATGTATCTTGAGATTATCAGGATATCCTAATGAGCATTAGCTCTATATTTAGATAAAATTTCCTTCCTGCAGGACATTGCCGAATCTCGAACGTTCCACCGACCAGAACATATAGCATATGGAGACAAGGAAAAACGTTTATCTCGTAGAACTGTACTATAGGCGTAAATCTGTTTGGATCTTTCATGATATCCTAGAGATCGAAAGGAACTTTAACAATGAAGTCCAATAATATTTGAAAGTCAAAGATTTTTTTTCTTGTTAGATATTAAAGAAACTATAAGTAAGATTAGTATTGCAGATTTAATGAAAACTAGTTCTTATGTTTAAGTTGATCATTTTTTTACTTCCAAGGTTTTTGGATGGATGTTGGTCAACCAAAAGATTACTTAACTGGTATGACTTTATATTTAAATTATGTTCGGAATTCAAACCCAGAACGATTGTCACGTGAAAATGGAACTGTTGGCAATGTTTTATTGGTATAGATATATAACTATCTGCTTATATTTGAATGACTAAACAAAACAAAATTTTTTTGTAGGATCCAACAGCAAAAATTGGTGAACGATGTCGAATAGGACCAAATGTTGTCATTGGACCTCGAGTCATTATTGAAAATGGTGTTTGTTTGAAAAATTGTACAATATTAGCAGATTCATTAATTAAAAGTCATTCATGGATTTCGAATTGTATTATTGGTTGGCGATGTACGGTTGGAAAATGGGTAACATTTTTGAAAAGACTGAATTAAATTTTATTTATTTTGTTTTCGATATATTTAGGTTCGTATGGAAAATATAACTGTACTTGGACTTGATGTATCAGTGCAAGATGAATTGTTTATTAATGGTGGTGTTATATTACCGCATAAAGCAATTAGTGAAAGTGTTTCAGAACCAAAAATTCTTATTTAATATTCAATATAAACTTTATTTATTTTATCTTTGTCACAAATAATAGTTATATTATTAGTGGCTTTGAATCTCTCTTTTCCTTATTCTAACTAACGCATAATTTAATTAAATTTATTGAATTTTTAAAAATTATTATTGTCTAATTTTTCTGTTTGTTATAATTGACAAGGTTCACTTTAACTAGGTATTTTTTATGTGATTGCATTCTGTACTATTGTTGTTTTTTTTTGTTTTGTTACATTGATTGGTTAAGGTTTTTTGTTTTATCTGTCAATAAAAGCAAAATACAACACTAAACTGTAACTAAGGTAAATTTTGCCACTAGATTTTTTCCGTTCCTTTCAAGTAATAAGATGTTTTATTTTGAAAACACGTCAAACCTATAATTCCGCGATTTTAATGTTTTTTTTTTCCTTCAGCACGGTAAATAGTGACGAAATCATGTTTTTCTTTACAAAAAAGACGTGACTTACATTACTTAAACAGTCGAAACATAAGAGATGAGTCAAAATATGATTAATAATAGGTATATTTTTTTCATGATTATTACAGTAAAATCAAAATAACTGATACGGTGTGCAATTCAGACGCAAGAAAAAGAATAAAGTAGGAGGCGATGTTAGCGACCTTTTCGTATGACGCATACTTCTTGTTTATCAAAACATTAGTAGGTCACTACTTACCAATAAAAAACATACATATTTATCTTTCGTCTCCTGTTTCTCTGTATTATTTAGAAAAAGATTTTACGCATCTGTATTATTTCTGTTTTCCTCCTACTTTGACAGTATATTGATGAAGTCATTGAAGCTGTATTTCATTTGCGTGTGACAGTAGTTTTTTTTCCTATAAATCGATAAATGTGAGCAAAAGAACGACAAATATCAAATTTTGTAGATTTCTCTTGTAAAATATTAATTGCTTTAAAGAGCCAATATATCAAAATTAATTCACATTAACTTATCAATTCCTATCTAAGTCAGTTTATCTATTATGGATGATCTAGAGCCAGATCGATCACGTATGTCATCTTTTATTCATATTAAAAAAAATCTTTATACTTCCGTCTTTTGAAAGATTTTAAGACACCTATGCTAACACCAGTTGTTAGTGATGCAAATAATCCAGACGAAGATTCAGATGTACAAGTAATTGTTTTTTTTCATTATTCTATTCAAAAAAAAAAAAACTAACGTTTTGTCTGAATAGTGTTCAATAGCACAAACAGATTATCAACGTATGGCTGATCTTACAAGACATTTTGATGCACATGCAAATCTCAATTATCTATTAAATGATAGTGATTGTACGTATTAATATTGCTTACTTTACATATAAGTCATTGAAATATTTTTAATTAGGTCAAATATTGAACAGTGACTAAATTTTATTTTTAATATTTATTTAGGTGAAAGTGGAACCGAATCAGATATCCAAGAAAAACAACCAACAGAAGCCACTGATTACAGTACATAGTCTTTATTCATTGTACATATTCACAAATAATATGAAAAAATCTTCTAGGTAATGATCCTAATCAATTACAGAAATATCCAGTTGAGAAAATAATTGATAGTTCGTATTATAATTATTCTTATATTCCTTTGATTTGATTTGATTTTTAATAGTATCTCTTCATCCTCAAACTTCACAAGAACGTGATGATGATATTCATCCATCTGTACAAGCAACTATATCAACACAAGGCAGTTTTTCTGGAATTATACCAGACATAGATTCTGACTTTGAAGCAAAACCAAGTGATGTCTGTGCAGAGAGTTTCTGTGTACCTTGTACAATGAAACTAGATGAAAAAGATGGTAAAATAAAACTTCATTTTCATTTCTTTTTTTTTTTAATTAGTTTTATTTATTAGACATCTTATTTATGAAACAAACATCAACGACATACGTAACAGAATATACTGAACCAAAAAAAAATAAAAATGATATTGGACATATTATGATTAGCTATAATCATTCAACAAAAACTTTATGTTCGAGAATTGCTAGAGAATTGAAAGTAAACAAAAACATAATCAAATTATTGTATTTTTTTAAAATTATAATTTGTGTTTAGAATTTAAATTATCTTGTTTGGATTGATCAGGATAATATATCTGGTGATATTTTAACATCTATGGCTTCTGCTGTCGAAAATGCATATGTTGTTTTAATGGCAATTAATGATAAATATTATAAAAGTCGATATTGTCGATTAGGTATAAGTTCATTAATTATTATATCTTTCTTAAAAGATATTTTTTTTAAATAGAAGCTGAATATTCTGTTGAACGTAATAAAGCATCTATTCCGATGTTAATGCAAGCAGGTTACAAAGCAATTGGTTGGCTTGGAATAATTAATGGATCAAAATTTCAAATTGATTTCAGTCAACTTCCATTCGATGAAGCATTCAATTTACTTAGACGTGAAATAGAAGCGGTTCGACTTTCCCTAGGAGCCGATGTAGATGGTCAAACAAGTAATAACTCTCTACTTTTTTTGTTTTTGTTCATTTTGATTTCTTTTCTTCTCTTTCAGGTACGACGCATAATAGTTATAATAATCATGGCATTACAACAATGAGTAGTTCTTGGACTCCTGTTGTAAATGTTAATGAATGGAATGCTGATGATGTAATTGAATGGTTAAATCGAGAAAAACTTGAAATGTAAAATATATTTTTTCGTGACTTTTCTTTTATTGTTTGTAACCCTTTCATTTATATTTAAGATTCCAAAACGCTTTATCACGTTTCACTGGATCAACACTTTGGCAATTATATAAAATAAAATTTGATGTAAATATATATACATTCGATTCAACTTAATTTAATAGATTTCTTGCTTTTAGTCTGCAACAGATTATTATCGAACCGTTGAATCATTACTTCCATCAACAATTTCTGATAGACTTTTTTATAATTTAACATTTAATGGTGCACTTGAGTCACTTTTTTCCTCATCGTATCAGTCAATACAACGACACTAGATATTTTTTCTCTGATTTTAACCGCTACTTTTTTTTTTATCACTTGTAATTACCTTGCTGTATAAACAAAGTACAGACGAATGAATCGTCTTCCATTTTTTTAACTTTATCTTGAATGTGATAAGAAGCTGAATCTTATTTTTTACTTTTTTAATAAAACGGTATTTAGATTTGTAAGATGCCAAAAACACAAAACTCGAGTGAATTTTATTTTTAATTTATTTATAAATGGTTCCATGGAACGTGATAATTTTGTTAGAAAAAATATACATTGTATTTCAATTATGTCAATCGCTCGTCAGAGAAATCTCAAGAAACTGATAAAATTGAATATGCATGAGTATAACCCACTCTTCTTTCAACAAATCTCTAGTTTTTCAAAATTCTTCTAAAGTATTTTATTTTAATTCAGCATCAAAAAATCGAATAGAAAAAATGTAACATGTGTATATTATGGTTATTAAATTAAACATCTTATTAATAATAGGTAATCTTAGAATATACAGTGAGCATGAAAATTGATCAACAACTTATCTCTATGATTATCTATGGGATTATTTTAGCTTAAAATTTTCTTCATAGCAGATCGTTGGAAAAAGCAAATTCTTCTCTACATACTAGACTAATTTTTACTGTGTCATCTCTTTTAAAAGTAGTCGATTAGGGATAGTTTCTGGAACATACCAATGATACACTGAGAAAACTTGATAAACTGACACGTTTTATTTTAGTTTTCAACTGATTTTGGATTTCCAAGGTATTATTAGAAAGAGTGCACAAAATTGTTTTCAGAAATAGTATGTCATCAATTATTTTTATCGTAGAAGGTGAAGTTAGTAACTTCTTATAGACATGTGAACTATATCCATTTTGTACAGAATTTATTGTATTCTCTCCTTTTCATAGGTTGCGTGGTGTCAAAATTGTTTACAAATATTGTAAGTTTGTAGAGAATTCTTTTCTCTACATGTTGGTTATGTTTTAAATCAAAAGCATGACTTTTATCATGAGGATGACGCTGACATCTAGGTGACAAGCTCAGAAGTGAAACTTTCGGAATGTTAATAGGAACGGACTATACTCGATTTTTGAAAAATTCATCGTTAAAACTCTTCACATGATGCCTTATTCTGGACAGCATGAAAGCCTATGGGAAGAAACATATAGTCTTCAATGAATGAGCCTTCTCTTGCAAAAAATTTCGCTCTAGGGCATTCTTGCTGTTGTTCTAAACTTTCATTTTGGAGCTTGTCATGTAGATGTCGACGTCATCCTCATGATAAAAGTCATGCTTTTGATTTAAAACATAACCAACATGTAGAGAAAAGAATTCTCTACAAGCCTACAGTATTTGCAAACAGTTTTGACATCACGCTACCTATGAAAAGGAGAGAATACAATAAATTCTGTACAAAATGGATATAGTTCACATGTCTATAAGAAGTTACTAACTTCACCTTCTGCGATAAAAATAATTAATAACACACTATTTCTGAAACAATTTTGTGCACTCTTTCTAATAATACCTTGGAAACTGCTATGAAGAAAATTTCAAGCTAAAATAATCCCATAGATAATCATAGAGATAAGTTGTTGATCGATTTTGAAACAGTCAAAATCACACCACTTGATTATTTGTTCAATAACCGTAGAAAAGAAGGACAGTTTCACTTGAAATTTTATGTATATATACTAAATGATATGGGCTATAATATAGAGACAATCAGATCATTACAACTTATATAGTTGTCGAAATATGAACTCACCAAAAAAGGTCATTCAGCTTGTTGATTAATTTTGGTACTCACTATGTCTATTCACACTTTTTTAAATGTATTTCTTTTCTTTTTGAGAAAATTGAAAGGTCAATGTCTTATCTCATTGACATGAAAAGATCTCAAACTATAAAATAATTTACTGGTTTCTTTTTTTAATTGTGCATTATTACTAAAATAATTGGACATTTTCTCGTCTGGGTAGCAAAAGTATGAAAAAATGATTTTATGTGACAATTTTATACCTTATCTACATTTAAAATCAAAATGATTACCCATTTAAGAGTCAACACAAAATACTGCATCAAATCACATGTATTTTATCAAAATAATTTCCTGAGTACAATCATCCTCAGAAGAATACGAGAGCACAATCACAGTTCCAGAAAACATGCTGAAGCGAGTGCAGACCTGTGCCACAAGTAAAATATACTTTTGATAAAACACATATGATTCGATGCAGTCGTTTATGCTAATTTCCCGTTTATTGTTTATTTTGTTTTTCAAATGAAATAAAATAATAAAACTACCATATACAGTCTTTGTTTTTATAGTTTTCTTATCAATATGAGAAAATGTCAAATTATCTCAACAATAAAACAGAATTAAAAAAAAAGAACTCAATAAATTATTTTATAGCTTGAGACATTTTATTGTCAATGTGAGATAAGATATTAGCTTTTATCTTTTCTCAAAAAAAAACTGAATAAACTGATATTAGTACCCCTAAAAATATATTCTAAGTTTGTCTGTTACAGATAAAATATTTTATTGTAGCAACCGATAACACACCCAAACTATGTGTTTCTATTCGATTTTTTATGCTGAGTCAAAATATAATACTTTGAGAATATTTAGAAAACCTAGAAAATAAAAATTAGAGATTTGTTGAAAGAAAAGTAAGGTTTAGTCGTATATATCTGATCTTATAGGTTTTGTTATAATCAGCTTGTTCTAAGGAATGATTTAATTAATGCGTTAAAAATAAAATGCACTCGAACTTCATATTAATTATAGCTTTTTCATTAATTAAATCAATGTTTTTTTTTTGGATATGATTCATAGTATTGTTTCTTTTTTTTACTTTTGTAACTTTATACGTATGTACAGCTGTAGATATGGTAGACAGACATCTATGAAGCATTTTTTTATTTTAATTTGTTTTTTTCTTTCTGTGAATGTGTATGTATATTCAGAACTGTATTTTTGCACCAATAAGAAAGAGAATACATGACGCATATGTAATGATGGTGTAATTCTTTTCCGTTCTTCGCAACATCATGGGTTGTTTTTTTTTTGGGGCGACATCAGAGGGGATAGATGCAGCGATGATAGAGGGTACGAATGAAAAAAAGTGTTTTTTTAACGGAGAAAAGTAAGAAAAGGGCTTACAAAGTACATAAAAAACGATATAACGTCACTTGTTTTTCTCTCGATGAGAATGTAAAGGGCTCACAATTCAATAACTCTTTTTTAAAATAAGATGCTTAGTAACGTAGCTAAAATCGACATTTTTTTTCCTTGTGTACCATACATTTTGCTATGGTTGATTAGTTCAGTAAAAAGGAAAAAAAATTTTTTTTGTTCCTTGATTTTAGATTAGTTTACTGATAAATTTTTATTCATATTTAAAATGGAAGAGCACTCTGACCTATACAATCTGGTTGAATTTATGAATTTAACTGGTCAACAACAGCCATCAGGATTGCCAGATATATCCGATTCTTTGCTTAATGATCAGGTAACTTAACAAGAAAAGATCAAAATTTGATTGTTAATTTTTGTTTTTCGTTTTGTTTTTCAAAAGATTCTTGGCGACATTGTCTTTACTGAAGAAGATCTCGCGCTACATTCAATTATGACTAACAATGATGACATAAGCAATGCTCTTATTGATGCACAAATAGATCGTAAGTTTTACTTTTATACCTATATTCAAAATTTCGAGAGATTATTTGACGTCATTTGGATAATTACCATGAAAACGTTCTGTGTAAAATTATTGACAGAGAAAATAAACAAGGAAATATCTCAGACTATGTATTACATGACATACCTTGGAAATAAACCAATTTCTCTAATTAAAAAAGGATTTAGTTTGATACAGTTTAATAAAAATTTAAAAAATCAACATAATAAATCAATATTTGTTTTTTCAGAGTTTCCTATTTACGACTTGATTATCACTGATATACCGGCATCACCATGTGAAAATGATGATATAACTAAATTAATATCATCACCATTTGAAGAAGTGCCACGACAAAGTATAATTGAAGATACTATGGAAAGAATGACTTTAATTCAATCACAAACAGGTTGATATGAATTTATTTAATTGTTTTTTTTTAATGATTTTTTTTATTCATTAGATATTTTATCATCACCAAGTTCTGTTCAGATTGGAAGTTCACCAGTTGAACACAAAGAAATCGACAGTAAGAAGAATTCAATACATTAAATCTTATCAATATTTGTTTTTTTTTTTCTTGTTTAATTTTAGATTCAATTCTTGCATCAAAATATGTTCAGCAACAGCACCGCATATATAAAAATGCATCAAAAGCTAAAAAGAGTTCCAGTAAGTTGATTACTTTTTTTTAAAATGTAAATTCATCTCTGATTGTCTTCCATTTCTTTCTAGAGCATCAACAACCTTCGTCGAATGTTGGTCCCATTGATATTCTTTCAAGTATGTTAACATTAATAAAGAAATCTTCAGAATACGAATGATTATCTTTTGTTTTTTCTTCAGCTTATGGTGGATGTCAACCATGCACTACAGAACGAATGTATAGCGATTTTGAATATCAACAACAAAGTATGCATTCTTTTTTGAAAATGTTTTTGAATAATAAATGAGTTTCTGTATTTAGTTCTTCAATTCGATTCAAAGGAATCGAAAACAATTCAATTTAAATGTCAACCACGTTCAAAATTCCGTCCACGCACACAGAATGAATGTAAAGCTGCATCACATTACATTCGATGTGAATTGAATAATGAGCATGAATATCCAACAATTTATGTATGTTGTTCAATATCTATATCGTATAGACAAAACTTTTTTTTTCTTCTTTTTCAGATACCTCACACATGGGCACTTCAATCAGTTAAAAATTTAATTGAAGTTGCTCTTGTTGGAATAGATGGACAACCACATCCATATACAATTGATAATAAAACTTGTAGTACTACATTCGATGATAATACATTGATCTTCAGACAAAATGAATGTAATACATTATATTTTTGTTTAACCAGTGAAGATTTTAAGAATGGATATAAAACGTGAGTTTAAATTTTGAATTCGATTCTGTTTAGTGATATTTTTATTTTGTTTATAGTTTTATGATTGAATTTATCAAAAGTAAACAAGATGATATTATAACAAAAGATTTAATTAAAACACGACAACTCGACCAATCAATGCTTCGTTTTACACGGATATATCAAGATGAAAAAGATACATATAAACGAGATGAAAATAGTACCGCATATTCTTGTGTAATGAGTGAAGGTAAGAAATTTTATTTTTTGTTTATTTATTCGGAAAGAAATGTATTGATTGTGATTTGCTTAGCTTATGGTGATGTTTGTGTTGAACATATGGGTCCAACATATGGACCGATGTGTGGCAATGAAAGAGTATATACTCTTCTTAAAGGTCGTATTCTTAAAGATGATATAACTGTATTTCTAACGGAAACTCAAACTGGTTGGCATCAACAATTGCCGTTTATCAAAAATGGAAATCTTGTTTATTTTTCAATGCCTTCTTATCCATTTCCACGAAGTGAACAAGCTATAGCAAATATTACTATATTTTACAAGGGAGAAGAGCTTTATCAATCATCTTATTTATATAAAGGATCATTAGATCGTAAGTAACTTTTTCTTTGTTATGTTTATCTTTTTAATTATTTTTTTTGTAGAAGCATTAGCTCAACTTAATATAAATGATTCAACTTCATCTGATAATGATTCATCGGCATCCGATGCTTTTAATTTCTTTTCAGCTACCGGTGCATGCCCAGTTCGAGCTTCATCTAGAAAACTCTCAACAGCAAAATCTACGAAACGTTTAAAAAATAAATAGATAAATATGTAAAAAAACCAGAACGGTGAAGTTCTTTGACGTTATTTTTGTATTATTACCCATTGTATTTTATTTTGGACAATGTCACAAAAAAAATTATTATGGTGACCGTTTAAATATGTTTCTTGCATGAACATTGTGTTTGTGTGTTTACCACTGATTTAGATTTTAGTAATTTTTTGAAATACTTTAAAAGAAAACAAAAAAACATTCGCACAGTTGTTATGTTTTACTTTTATCGTATTCATTTTTGGATTTTATTGTTTGTTTCTTGTATTATATATATATATATGTGCAAACATAAAAACAAAAAATAAAAAAGTCAATATATGTGAATTACAAAGTCGTTAAAATAAAGAATGACAACATTTGAACAAGCTAATTTGAAAGAAGTTGGTTTCTGTCGCAACTCAAGAAACCTATTACGAAAATAATGGTGAAAAGTCGACAAATTTTGTTTTCAATTTTCTAAGACGATCATTTCGATGATCAAAAACAATGTATTAAACGATCTGAAATGGTTATTCAATAGAGTTTTGTATTTGACTCTGAAAAGTCTATCTCATTCTTTTCTTGTGTAGCATTCATTTTTGATCGTGATAACGTCAAGTAAACGAGAACGGTCAATCTAATAGCCAATTAACATGAAATGTGGAAAAAATAATTAAAAAACAAACATCTACACTACACTAGACTAACTTTCATAAATGATTGTGGTGGAAAACAAGATCAGCATCGTTCAATATCTCCACTTTCATCATTAGACGTATTCGTAACATCTTCAAGCACGTTAAATTACATAAGATCATGGTACATGTAAACTGTGACTAATTTACGGGGAAAAAATTTCGGAGTCGTCGTTGAAAAAGCGTGACTCCAAAAATTGATCACAAAAATTTAACTTCGCCTTTTTTCCATAATGGTTACTTTCATAACAAATCAAAATAATGACTTGAAATGAGATATTAGTTTCTAATAAGGCTTTGATAAACATAAAGTGTTCACAGTATTCTCAAAATTCAAAATCTCAGGAAAATCTCAAACCTAGTTTTTTAAGCAGACAGAACTTGAAAAACGTCCAAAGAGTTTTTTCGCCGTTTTCAAGGGGAAAACTGAACACGAAAGATCTGCGGACTTTTCTTCAAATCTACTCAATTCAGTCAAAAAATATCATGAAGACCTCGACAACGTGTCATTTTGCACAGAGTTAGTTGTTCCATCACCTAATGTGATCACAAGAAGAATTTATTTTTGGATTCTGGATGCTGAAAAATGAGGTTCGGAGGTTTTCTAGAGGTTCAGAATTTTCAGAATACTGTAAAGAGTGTATTTCTCTCAAATTCTTAGTGAAAACAATTTTCTCTATTTAAGTCACTATTTGGATTCTTTATGCGAGTTATTATTACGAAAACAATGTCGAAATTAAGTCTGTTTGACGATTTTTTGAAGCAACTGTATATTCCAATCAAAAAAATGCCAGAGATGAAGTCCGACAGAATATACTGGCGAAGTCGTAAAAATTTCACTTCGCAAGGCTCTACGATACAACGTCGTATTGCTACAAAAATGTTTACCGTACTCCATCGTATTTGCTCACCTCATTTTACAGACTAATTTTTCCGACAATAAACAGTTAATGTTTTTTCAAATATGTTCGCCGTTTTATGAAATGACGAAAAATTGTCACTCAATGCTGCTGTTTTTTACCATTTTATATTGCTGACGGTACTGTTTTTTTATGAATCTGGGTTTTCTCTTTGATTAAAACATGTATTAATATGAGTGTGGATGTGGATTTGAGTGTTCGGTTGATCTTCATTCACATTCTCCACTGTTGAATGGGAGAGGAAGGAGAGAGAACAAAAAAGACCCATTCAAACTGCATTGGCTCGCTTAAAATATTGACCGTGCACCGCCCATGGTAACCTACGAAAGTTTTGTAAGTATCATGCTCGAAAGAGTACAATGTATCAGGATTTTATGGAAACTATTCCAAATATATGTATTGTACAATAATATATTCATCAAAAATCTAATAAGCTACTTAATCGAAGCATGTTCAATACAAGAATACTTGAAGTTACTGTTCAGATATTGAGCTGGATTTCGCACATAATATTTTACAGTATCAATGAAATAGATTTTTTGCGTTTGTTGACAGTCAATTCATATTTTTGACGTTCGTTTTATCTTCTGTCTTTTTAACATATTATTTCAAAAATTGACTTTATTTAGTTGCCCCTTGTGTTTCATTTATTACCTCTTTGGCTTGAATCAAGCCAAAGACAAAATAAATATCATGCAAAAAGAAACTCAATCAGATCAAAGAGAAAACTAATACAATGCAAAGAAAAATAAAATCAAGTGACTTGGCTCAAGTTTCCTTTGAGAGAAAGTAATTCATTTTCTTGACAAAACTGCAAACGAAGTTTCACTTTTACATAGACAATCAGTTTCATCGAACTGTTAAAAGTGTTAATTATCTACAGCAGAAAAATCCCAAAGAGAAATGCAGAAGGCAAGAAAAATTAAGGAAGGAAAAATCACCCAATGTCCCTCTTCCAATCGTATGCTATGATAATGGTATTAATTGTAATTCGATTTGATTTTGTACCGCATTTTTATATTCTCATCTTCAACTATTCGTTATTATCCATTAGATGTAACCCATTGAATATAGTACTCCAGAATTATATATGTCAGATCAATCAAAAGACTACTATTAGCAGTGTGTTAGAGTCAGTTCAACTCACTATTTGAGTATTCGTAAGTGAACCGTATTTGCATCGTTTTCGCATCGTAATATATATGAAATATATCATAAATGAGTACTTGATAGACTAGATTTACATTGATCATAGAACTATGCTGATCGGTTTGTTTTTAGTTTTATAATACTATATTGAACTTCATCGAATCGAGTTAGCCAATTCGTCCACTGTACTTTACAATCTATGCTTAAAATTGCTTGGTCGAAATCAAAACTTTGAAAATTTTCTCTGTGAGAAGTATGGCTATCAAGGGACAATCTCGATTATCTATAGCAGATACTATTTAATGAAGAAACGACAGATGAACAATTTTTCTTTTCTTGTCTCAAATAATAAATAAGCCAATATTGACCATGATGAAATTCAGTAGATATGTATGTTTCTAAGTGGCACATTACTATGTTGTTTACAACTCAATGAGAGCTATCCATTGATGTGTCAAAGAACTCTAAAAGGTAACTGTGGGTTTTACTTAAATAAAGAACAAAGAATACTACATGATATATGAGCAAACAAGTAAACGATTAAAATGAAGTCACTTTTTAGATTATTCGAACGAGGCGTGATTATTAGTATTAGATGAAACTGATCAATAGTTATTTCGTATATATTATCACAGTGTTTCATTATAGATTTGAAAGATTTTTATAATACGATGTAATTATGAAACAAATACGTCGTAAAAATGACTTCCTATGTATAATACCATATAAGATAATCCGTCAGTTGTCGCAAACATTTCATACTTAATACATAAGTCTTGCATCAATCGATAGTTGTAGACGCACATCTACTGATTGCTGCAAAGCTGTCACATTTTATTCTCGTATCGTCTCTAATGGAACTTCCTGTCAGACATAAAATGACAGTTGCAATCATTCCAATCCATAACCTTTCATTTCAACAGCAGAAAATTGTAAAAACTACTCATAAGTTTTTATACGAACAATATCTTGAAAGCCTCATTGCTCATTTTCTCTATAACATTATATAATATTGAAACGTTAGTGAACTAAACTAATGATATGAAAATAAAAATAAAGAAGTAATGGAAATCAAATAGTTTTCAAAAATAAAATAAAATTCGTTATTTATTTTTAACATACGTATTCGATTTTACAAAGATAACTTTTGTTTTTAAAATATAAGTTTAAATAAAATATTTTTCTTATGCAAAATCAAGATTCTTCTTTAAAACGACACAAATGCAAAGCACTTACAGTCTAATTTTGTATATGTAGAAGAAGAGAGAAAAACGATATTTTAATTCATTCATTTTCAAATGAAATGCGTGCTGAGATATTATCAATAAGACGGAATTATTGATATTACGATTTTAGAAATTTTTTACTAAAAAAAGATTTACATATGACATTCTTGTCTTCTGTTTATATTAATTCAAAGCAACAAAAAAAAGAAATTCAGATCAAATAATATGGTATTTTATTGTAGCCATAAATACGTCGTATGCGACACAGCCAAAATATGATCATAAATTATTCACCATCAAGGATGATGATTACAGTTATCGAACCGATCAAAATACAATACTGTATCAGACACGTACCCAGAAAATTTCTGAGGGGGAGGTCCAAAGTCCTGAGGGGGTGGCCCACCATGGGAAAATTTACAAAAATTGCTGGGTAAAATATGTCTACTCGTACTCCTCCTCAGGCGTATTCACATCTGAGGGGAGGGCCCGGGCCTCATGGGCTACCCCCTTCGGTACGTGCTTGTACTGTATACTGTTATTTCGCATAGTTTGCGATCGTAACTAGCTGTAAATTTACGTTTTATAGACAGAGTATTACGATCGTATTTTATCATACCCTACCTAATGTTTTACTGATATGCAGACTTATAGAAAACGATAACACAATCACGCCATTTTATATAATTTATGACGTTGTTTCGTTTTTGAACCTGATTAACAAAAAGTCAGTGTTGTACTCTAACCTTTGATAATCTCTATTCTTTGATTGTCACTCCAATCGTTTACTTTAATAGAAGAAGATTTTCAGTCGAAAATTTAAGACAATTATGCTAGTTTTGATTTCAATTAATTTATATATTACACAATTAAATAAAAAAACACAATCCATATCTTATATTTTATTTTTTTCTTTGAAAAGAGAAGCACAGTCTTTTATAAATTATTTCTTCAAGAGAGTATAGACTTGTTGGAGTTAACATCAGCCAACTCTGAGTTGAAACAATCTGATCTGTATTAGTTAATTGTATATACGTATACGTAATGCCTTAATCTTTTTTGTTACCACAGATTAAAAACTTTTTTCATTTCATCAATTTGTGGTTCACATGATTAGTGCCTGATAGAGATCGCGACTAGTGATCTGCATCACCATGGTAACTGGTCACGACGGCGCCACAAGCAACTTCTTCTGCTGTAGACAGTAGCGCCGTCGTGACCAGTTACCATGGTGATGCAGATCACTAATCGCGACTTTTAATACCATTCAGCTTAACATTAATTTACGTTAATATCAAACGGCAACCGTCCTTGTACGACATCTAGCCTTATAATAATATCTCATGTCATAAACCAAAAAGGATTCCTTGCTATGTGTGGGCATGACAGAAAGAGAGTGAGTAAATTATTCCCTTGTTNAATCAAAACAATTATAATAATCCTTCAAATCAAGAATATCCTAAAATGAAATCTAGCCAAAAAAAAAAAACAGATCTCTTGTATGAATATTTTCAATAGGGAAGCATCGTGAGTTTTGAGTCTAGGACAATTTTTGCTGTAGTTATCGAGATCTTTCTAATCTGAAAGTTTCAAAGTTGTCGAATAAGTTGTTTTCAAAACAAAATTCCAAGAAAACTCCTTTATTTACCAAAATACGATTGCAACGAGACTTTTCTAATGTATATTAACTGAAGATTTCCGAAAGGGTTACTCGATTTTAACATATGTGGATGATGATCTTTAAAAATCTCATCATTATTCATTCGTAGTGACAAAATCAAAGAGGAGGGCAGGGGATGCTGAGCCTTCTAGCCAGGGAATCTCTCCAAATAGCAGATTGCTGTTTGACCAAGATTAGGTTCATTTGATGAGTGCTAGTAAGTAATAGAAAATTCTAGAAAGATTTTGTTTTTCGATTCTTCGTTCTCGGAATATCAAATTTTTACTGGATTTTTCAACAAAAAGTTGTTGTTCCTCTCAAATCACATGAAAAATCAATCTTCGAGTTTCAACTTCACACTTTACATGAACAAAGATCTTCATGTAGATTAGTTTCAAGCGATAAGTTGTAACTTTTCTATTATTTTCTTTCTGAAGATGTAAATGTTCCACTAATGGGGAGACACCGAGAAATTAAAGGATATTCATGAGAGTTCGCCTAGCATCTCTCTCGACTAATTGTTTAAAGTAATAAAGAAGAACAAGCGCTCTTCTGAATTTTATTTGCTTATTGCTACGTGATTAATTTTATTATTAACTTCCTCTCGTTAAATTCAATCAAATGCTTATTCCCATCATCTCTATTGACATTATTCTCTCTGATGTTTTGCAAAATAAAACAGTTATTGTTAAATACCAAGATTGCAATAATCACTTATTGAGTCGTCTTTTCTTTTTTGTTTTTATCTCCCTAATAGATCAAAATCTAGTTTATTCTTTTCTCACGCACGCTACTTACGTATTTAATGATTGCATTTCCGCTACAGAATCCCTGTTAAGTTTTATATAATTTAAAAAAGTGAAGCAGTTGTGTCAAAGTGACATCAACGAACAGCAATCGTATACCAGTAGCATTAAGCGATATCATATCAATGCAAGTTAATATGTTATATATGTTGTAAGGTGACTGAACGATCAGGTACCACGGCACGTTCAGTACAAGTTCTTTCCTTTAGATTGAACCATGCGTCAACAATGTAATCTTATCTGAATCAATGTTATTGCTGTCTCAGCTTTTATCAATGAATATACAGTATGAGAAAAAGAAAACTGTGACCATCTGCCAATGCAATCATTCTGTATTTTCTTTCTCAATTTATCATTAACGATGGCAGTTAAAGTGTGCAAAGATGACTTAAACTCTATCTATGTGAACTTTTATTTATGTTGCTTTTTTTTAATTGGCAGAAAAATACATGCCCAACTCGTCACATTAAGGATTAAGAACTTTCTTTTTCTAGAAGAAGATCAACATAAATTTTCTTTTACACATAAGAGAATTTCAATTATTAAATATCTCAGGATGAGAGATACAAGAACACTTACAATTTATCCAATGAACTAATCTCATTAAGAACATTGTTCATACAGAGTTTGAAGTCCATTTTTTTTATGTGACATGAGAGAGATCCCAGTTTTCTGTTGAAAAATCCAATAATGTTTCGATATCTCGAGAACGAAAGCTCAAAAAATGAAACCATTCAAAACTTTTCTATTACTCACCAGTACTCTTCAACTGAACATTGTCTCGGTCGAAAAGCGATTTAACACCTGAAGAGGTTTTCTTTTGAACCCGACCAGATATTAAGTCACTCCTATTATCGAAATTCTGCTTATAGCACTATTTATTTCTCTTTTGAAAAGGTATTGCAAAGTAAATATCATGGAAATGAGATGAAAACGTCAGGTTTAATCCACATACCTTTTTGATGAAGTAAATAGAGTACAATCTCTTCTGCAAAAGTCATCTGAAAAGCTTTTGCTAAAATCAAGCACTATTACGTACGTGATAGAAACCTTTTAATGCAGTTCATATAGAATTAAAGTACAATACACTAAAGACTTATTGCAATAGAAAAGTCACGATGTTTTGTTTTCTTTACGAAAAAAGGTTAAAATCAGAAGTTCAAACACTTAAATACATTTTTTTCTTCTTATATGCAATTTTTCGAAAAATAAACATCATACATAATATCTTACCCATCTAAACTTGCTGATACGAAATATCGATCATCTCGTGGATGAAAAGCAATTGCTGAAACAAAATCCACATGAAGAAAATAGCATAAACACTCTAAACGTGTTAAATGCCATAATCGAACAGTTTTATCCATAGATGATGATAGAAGAAATAAAGATTTTGACCAAGCAACATCGAGTACAGGTGCTTGATGACCAACAAGCTCAGAAAATGGTTTAGCATAAAGTGGAACTTGCATTTCATTAAGACCAAGTTTAGCATTATTTGTGGGTGTTATTGGTTCTGATAATATATTATGATGAAATTCATAAAATCTATTTCTTAATATTTCACTTTGTTGTTTCGATGGATTTGATGTTAAACGAGAAAAATCATCAAAATGTGGTCGAGCTGCTTTTAATGCCCAGATTTTAAGTAAACAATCTTGACCACCGGTTGCAAGAAGATAACCATCAGGTGAAAACCTATATTTAATTAAACATAAAAAGAAAAATAGAATTCATTTATTTTAATAGAATTTCTATTAATTACTTCATACACCAAATAGGTCCATCATGAGCATTAACTATTGTTTGCAATAATTGTGTTTTATCAAATTGTGTATGCTCTTTTAAATATCTTGATGCTTTATATTTTAAATCTCCATTTGAACCATCATTAATTAATGATCTTTCAGTATCATCTTCTTCATCATCAATATCGCCTGTATTATTATTTTCATATGCTGCTTTAGATTTCTTTTTACGTAAAAAATTTTTTACAACTAAATTTCTTAATTGTTTTTTTATTGATAATGGTGAATGTGTAGTAGATGTTAAAGATTTATCAATAACTGATGATGATGATCTAAGTGTTGTAACACTTGATTTTGTACTTGAAGTTTCTGATGATGTTGATTCATTATCTTCATCATCTTGATTTCCATGTTTTTTATTTTTTTTATGTGAAAGATTCATTTCTGATTTACTGAGAGTATTATTATCCGATGAAGATTTTCTTAGATTATTACGACTATTCAATATTGAATTACCACGTACTGTTATAATACTTCCACTTCTATGAGTACGTTGCATTATTGTTTGTGTCATTGGATTAGCATCACTTAATGGAATATATTTTCCACTATCAAGATTAAGTACAATTGGTTGTTGAAGAATTTCTTCATCATCTAATTTTCGACTATTTGGAGATAATTCACCGAATTTTGTTATATGATCAATTATATGTAAATCAACTAGATTTGGTTCACTATTAGCAGATAAAGTTCGTAGATTTGAATAATATCCACCTGTACCACGAGCTGATGTTACAGGTAATGAATGTTGTTGATATTCATTAGGTTTAATAGAAGAATTTGTTAATATTTCTTTTGAGAATGAAGATACAGAACTCTATGAAAAGAATAAGCAAATGCTGCAATTAAAATAAAAATTTAGATGATTCTTTTTGTAAAAGTCTGTCATCGATGTAAACTAGAATGCCTTTCGGTCATCTGTGTTCGTGAGTTTCGTTTTAGCGACCATTCCTTATGTTCACTCTTTCTTAACGTCTATCATATATATATGTAGCGCAAGTATCATTTCAAAATATCGCCAATAAGTTCAATCATTGAAATGTAGATCACCGAATTTCGGCGAAGAGCATATTGATCATGAGTACTGAATATAAACACGATTGAGTAGAGATCATCTTCAAGTATTATATATTTATAGAGCTTATTTGAACAACAAAGTTTCTCAATTATGTCTGCGCTTCTCAGAAAAGAAAACACCAAATAAATTTTCAAACCTTGTTTTGATATTTGATTTGTTCATTATCAATATGATCTTTAAGAGCATCTAGTTTTGATGATATATCTTGAACATTTGATACTTCTTCTACTATTGATGATGATAAAATGGAAGATGATTCAGGTAAGTTTTTGACTATGACATTTTGATTATTTCGAGTATTAGGATTGTCTTGAGCGCGTAAACGTTGAAGCTTATCACGTCTTTCAATATCTTGTAATTGTTTATCAGTTAGTGAAATTGTACAAAAATGTTCCTAATATGAAAAAAAAAATAAGACAAAACATTTTACTATATTAACAAACGTACAGGTTTCTTTGATGATTCATCCTTCGATGATATTCTCCACCGAGGTTCTCTTTGAAGAAGATGACTAATACAAAACAAAAGAAATTAAATTTATAGTTCTAATGAAAACTTACTTTTCTATTTCAATATTCGACAAACTACTGCTAGCATCATAAAAGACGGCATCATCATCAATATCACTTGAACTACTATCATCACTATCACTAGAAGACGCCATGGATACCATGCATCTAAAGATCATAAATTTTATATATTGACTTGTGTCAATGAAAGCAAAAGGTTGTAAAGAAAGCAAATAAACGAAATAGTTATTTTCATATGAATATTTTTTAATACGATATCGAACGAGCTAAATGACATTTTTTTCCTTTTCTTAGAAATAAGAAAGTCATTGAATGCCTCATTGAAATCAAATATTAACGTATACTCAATAATATGATTGTAGTGATGAAAGCACAAAAGAGCAAGATTGAGTAAAGAAAAGGATCAACTACGATTGGATATGTCGGAATGAATAAGCTTTTTCATAGATGTCACTAATGATCGATAAAGAAATAATTATAATTATTCGGTTGTCTATAATACGAAGAATTTTCAATTCAATAAATGATACTATGATAATTTCTTTGAAAAAAAACAAGATGCTTTAATTTTGAATGTAAAAAAATGAACTATCGTTCGGACGAGACATTAAAAATGTATGATAAAAAATAAAAGCTTACTCTCGCTTGATCAGTGTTTTGCATTCATGGATTAGAAGAGATTGATTCAAGGTCAATGACATATTGTGTATAAAACTGGGATTTTAAATTGCCTATCTCTATTATTTAGAAATGACGATCTTTTGTAGGTGTGCACTGTAAATTCGGTGATATTTCTAGTATTTGTTAGAAAACAGAGACACTTGGTGAGTGATAAACCTAATAACTGATGTTCATCAATTAATCTGCTTACAGTGAGTACAAAAATTATTCTATAGTATTTGTTTTCAAATTTTTTCTGCTGACTTAATCGTTAGAAAGAATCAGACTACTGATTCGAGTAGAGAAAATTCTTTTCAACAAGCGGATAAGCGCATAAAAAATAGTATTAGATTCTAAAAGATAGAATTTTCAGAAAATCCGAACTCCTGTTTTTTAACATCTATAACGCACAAATATAATTTTATTTCGATTACATAGAATGATAAAGCAAACCATTCTCTATGAAACGAGACGTCTCCGAGTTCTCCAAGGCATTTTTTAACTGATATTACTAAATAAGTCCCTAGAGTCGTTGTTATTACTAAGCTGCATCCTATAGAAAAATCATCTTTGGACTTTCAATCAAATTGCTGTATTACAGCCGAAAAATGTCGCAGAGAACTCAAAGACGCTTCATTTTGTAATGCATTGTTCGCTCTATTATTTTGTGTAAACTAAACAATATTATGAAAGTCTAATACTATTTTGTATTTCCTTACATTCTTGTTGGCAAAGAATTTTCTCTCTTCAAATCACCAGTTGAATTCTTTTTTAATGCTCAAGTCAGCGAAAAAAATTGAGAAGAAACCTTGAATAATTTTTGTACTCAGTGTATAAAAAAAATATGAAATATAAAATTTTGCCTTTGGAATTTATTTTTATTTTGTTTTGGCTTCTAACTTTCAATCTATGAGAAAAAAAGAACAATGATCGTTTCATTGAAAAAATCACATCTATTTGTTGTTGCATGCGCAGAAAAAGAAAAATTTGTTTTGGATCAAATATAAAAAGGATAATTGGGTCATGATATTTTCGAATAGATTTTCAAATATCTCTCATCGATTAGTTATGAAGAATTTACTATAGAGCTTTCAATTCGTGTCACACACTAAGTTAGACAGTTGTAGAACTAATGAAAGAACGAACATTTTCTTTTAATAATTATATTAGTAAAAAGTAAAAAAAAAAAAAAGACAACAAACTTGTCAGCTCAGTTCCTTCGAGGCTGAAATGTAGATTTCATACGTGTTCTGCAGCTTCATTATACTAATACAAAATACATTAAGTGAAAAATTTCTCGCAGACTATAGTTGTGTTCCAAGGATAGTCAATCGTCAGAGAAGCAAACGATCTGTCTTATTTATATCTGCAATTCGAACAGAATTTTTTTTTCTTTTCTTTAATGACGCTCTATTCTTTTTTTGGCTTGTTGTTATTCGTTCGTTATGGTTTTTTTCGTATTGCGCTTTTCTTAAATTAACACTATTATTATTCTAATCATTGATTGAGTTGACAAATAAGCCTGTTGTATATACTAATTATATCTACAACAGATCTCAACACGCTATTTTAGTATCTCAATAAGCTAACAAACACTAATATTAATTATTTTCAAAAGTTATAACTTGCTCGATTCACGCTTTTTATGTTGATCTTATGATGACTGTCGCAAATCAATGCGTCACTACCCATCATCCTTGGCATCGTGAATAGAAATTTTTATTTGCGCAAATATCAGAAGCTACACTATTCAGAATACTCGCAAGAGTAATATAATCATTCAGATCTTCTAGAATATGCTAAGTGTAGTAGTTAATACCATTCAGCGTCTTTGTGCGCTGTTAAGGAACTGTGGGAAAGGAATCTGACACTTGTTGACCTCAGTTTCTAAGGTCTGTAATGGAGAGAAGGGAAACCGCAAACCTTCGATCAATGAACTTTAGAAAGATAAAGACTTACGATAAGAAATATTGAGGTCTTACATTGAGTGTTTTACTACCATTGATCCCATACATAGATATACGAAACTAATTTTTCGTTCTATAATTTGAAACTAGATCTATCCTGAGAACTTCTGTATAGCGTACAATTTATTCTGCTATGTTTTCTTTGTACACAACTGAGCAATTATACTATAATAAATTGTACGATTGATGTACAATTGTACAATTTACTTGAAATCTAACCGGTCAAATAAATCGCGTCAATCTTTAGATTAATCAAAAAAATGTTTTTGTTATTTTTAATTAGAGTAACCTTGGGATGAGTGATTGTGATAATGTCTGTTTGTTTTGTCCTTATGTCAACATAAATAATCGATTAACCTCAATATAAGCAGAGCAAAATATGTTGCATGCAACAGCTGACCGCTTTTGTATGTATACACTGCAAAATATATTATTTTTTATGGTAGTTAAGGCAAAAATTATAATACAAAAGAAAAAAAAGAAAAACAAATGTTTAGTTGTTATATATTTAATATTTTTTTAAAATGCACTGTCAAACATTGTTTACAAACGAATCCTTGACGACATAATTTTGTTCTTTTGCTTTCTAAGTTTAGTAGTATCCATGCATCGTTAACATGAACACATATTGCATTGCAATATGAAAATTAATACATAATATAATGAAGAAACTTTCTCAGCTATTCTCTTCGAAGTTACTAGTCATCATAGAGACATATACAAAGTGTCTCGAATGTCCATTGGAAAAGTAGATTTAAAATATCTATCATAAACGATTCAAGCGATATTAAAATTTTTTTTTATCAATGTCTATATTTCTAAACATTCGAATAAAAAATAGTTTTGTTAATAACTGAATTCAGATCAGAACTGTTCATTGTCTTTGAGAAAGAATGGATGAAAACGTGAATTACATTAAACAAACTTACAGCACTTTTATGAAGTTTGTACCGATGCAAGGCAACGATGTGTTCGATAAACCTTGAAAAGCTTACAATAAAAAAAGGAATAACTTGGTAATGTTTGACAAAATGCGTCAAAATCAAGTGTTTTGACATATAACAACATCTTGCTAAAATCCATGAATAGTAATGTTTCATCGAAGCCATGGAAGACTTAATTTGAATAAAAAGCCTTAATGAAAATAATTTGCAAGGTCGAGTTGAAAACTATCAAAAACTTTAATTTAATGATGTAGAGGGCAGTAATAATCAAGAGGATTTCTTCTTTTTTTCCTGAACGAAGTCACTGTTTATTTCAATGAGTTTATATAGTTGAAAATAACGTGAAAACTAAAGTTTAAGTTCTTTCTTGTGCTTTATCGTGTCATAGCTCGTTTATTTTTAAACATATCATGTATAGCAAGAATGTAAGAAAGACGCCGAATCTTATGGTTAATTAGACTTAAACAATGAATAGTGTTAAAAGCATAAAATTTCATCAGAAAAAAAACCGGTCCTTTGCTTTTTCTATAATCTACTGTGTGAGCTAAACGGATTTCCTTTCTTATTTGTTTTGTTTCTATTTCAATAAACATAGATTAGTTCACAATTAATATTTATATAGAAATCTATCTACAAACTTAACCGACAGCATAAACTAAATTGGAACCGCACATCATTTTATTTTATTTTATTTTATTTTTTGTGTGTCTTTCGTTTTCTTATTTACTTATTCATCGATATTGAGATCGTCTTCTTAACTACATCTATGTGTTTGGTCTAAATAAAGATCATATTTACAAGATAACGCTTTCACATATTCCTTGACAGATCGATATGTACTTCAATTGGCAAACAAAGTAGGAAGCTGGGAGATTCGAATCTAATACATAAAAACTGTACGTTAACTTTCTTTTCTGAGCGTCGTCAATAAAAAGCTAAAACCTTGATCTTTCACTTATTCGTGTAGACAGAGTTTTTTTTCTTGCTTCGATAGACAAAAGGATAATTGAAGTATAATATTCAGCACACGTTGTTCTTCTGCTTTCATAAAATTGTTCAAGTCTCATATAGTTGAGTAATTTCGATACATACTAGAATTCATTTTATTATGATATTCTACGACTAGAGTGTGGGTGTGTCGCCTCTTCAGTCACATCCCCTAAAAACCTGTATTGATAGTGCCAACATAACATCTTTATCCAACATGTTTAAAAACAGCCTTTCATCCGAAATTTTACTTTTTATTTTTCTAAAGTTTATTTTTGACATCTTTACTTTCGAACAAAGGTCAATGTGTCTTATTACAGTGTCAAAAGTTACCGAATGAAACTCAATGTGATAAGGAAAATTCTAGAAGCTTCCAGCACTACATGATACCTTGTAGAATTTTTGGAATATTCTAGAATAATGTCACAGTTTTTCGAAAAAAATTTGAAACTTTCCACATCATATCACTACAAGTGTAAAAAGTGTCTGATACCAGTTTAAAAGTCTATTGTAAAAGACCCAGAGTTAGGATAAAAGACTAACTGTGCAATTTGAATGGGAACTAGTTGATGTGCTATAAGATGC